CAGGGGTTTGGAGACGACACTTTGATTTTGTTGCAAATTTGTAGACTGTTTTGGAGACACCACTGGCAACCTTTGCTCCAGCTTCCTTTGAAGCCTTTAAGTTAAGATGCTTTATTAACTAGAAAAACCTTCCATTGACAGACAGTTTTAATTAGGCTGTATTGGACCTCAATCCTGTTTGTACACAAGTCCACAGCAGAATCTCCCCAGTGGCTTTTTTGGGACAACCGTGAGGTCCCTTTTGTGCCTTTCCTTCATTTCTCCAGGTTCCCTCCACTTCCTCCTCCAGTCAACTCCAACATGCTTTCATCAGGCAATCAAAGCCTGGGCAGTGACACCCTTAATGACCATGCCGACTTAGCTGTTAATATAGGAGACCTACGCATCTGAGCCAAGTTCCCCACTGTCCTGTGCTATGAACTGGAGAGCTCTGCGTGACCGGCTTCCTACGTGCACCCCAGAAAAGGGGCTTGCACAGACCTGGGTGCACACAGACAGATACAATGCAATGCCAGGCAAATGATGGGAAGGAGCAATGGTCTCAAACTGCAGCAAGGGAAGTTTAAGTTAGATATTAGGAAGAACTCTCTTACAAGGAAGTTTAGTAAGAGACAGGAAAAGACTACCCAGGGAAGTGGTGGCATCGCCATCCTTGGGGGGTTTTAAGACTCGACTAGACAAAGCATTGGTTGGGATGACCTAGTTGGGGCTGGTCCTGCTTTGAGCAGGGGGCTGGACTATATGTGACCTCTTGAGGTCCCTCCCAACCCACATTTTCTATGATACAGTAGAGGTGAGTAAGTAAAGTTATGCAGGGGAAGGTGATGGATAACACTTAGGTACATTGCAGAACAAAGATTTGTGGCTTTAGACACACAAACCTTCACTGCACAGATTGATGTGGCTCCACATCACAGCTCTGCTGGTGCAGAGGTGCAATCTCGGAGCGACTCACCTGTGCCAGCAGACACCCGTGGTCATAGCACTTGCACTAGCCAAACCACACTCGTACTGGGAGACCCTGCTCTACTGTGCGGGGAAAAGTAGCTTTGCTCCAAGCACAACTTCGCCAGTATGGCTGCAGGTACACTAGGAGCTGATGGCCAGCATGGACACCAGCTTGGTGTAGTGTGGCCATATCCACCTACACAGGTGGATTGTGGTGCTCCTTAGCTGAATTTTTAATAAGGAAAACTGCAATCTTGCAAGCTGCTCTGCTCCACTCAAACCAAGTGGGTTCTGCTTGGGTGCAAGGAGGGCTGTGTGCAGGGCACCTGGCGGCAGATACTTTCATGGAAATGCTCTAGGGCAGGGATGTCAAAGATCCAGCATGGGGAGCCTCATCATCCGGCCCCTAGTGCTGGCTTGAAGTCTCAGTCAACCCACACAGGCCACAGCCTTGCATACAGGGCCTGGGACACGAGCCACACGCGGTGTCCGTCCCACTTCCTTCCACCACCCACACCCTGAGCCAGGTGGGGGCATGCCACACACAAGTCCCACTCCAGCCAGTCTGAGACCCACGCAGTACGTGGCACCAGCAGATGCCACATGCAGCTCAGGTCCTGAACCAGCTGCCACACGTGGCATGGTCCCGGACCAGCCAGGGAGTGGGGGCACCACATGCAGCACAGTCCGGCTGCGGCAGGTGCTATATGTTGCACACAGCGCCCACTTTTGCTGTTCCAGAAGAAGTGCTGCCCAAGGCTCAGCCAGTTTGACACCCAAGCGGTGTCAAACACAGTCAGTCACAGCATGCAGTGCTGCAGGTGCCGCATGCAGCACAGGTGCCAGACTGGCTGGATCTAGCATGCAGGGAGAGGGGTAGGGTGGCAGGAAGAGGGGAGTCCGTGGGCCCGATCCAGCCCGCAGACTGGTCCCTCGCCATTCGTCTGACCTGCAGGACCAGATGACTGGCACCCATGCCCTATGCAAAGTGTAATGCACTTGAAACAAGGAAAGAAGGGCACAGATCCTAGACAAGGGCTTCCCCTCACCAGCGCTTGTGTGAAGCATGGCACAGCAGAGATCATCCTCACTCCAAACTTCCACTCCAGCTGGGAGGTAGCCCCGGCCTCCACCCTTCAGCAACAACCTTTGGCCTTGTATAAAAGAGACTGTGATCCCAACTGCAGCCTTTTGGTCCTACGTAATGTAAATTATGAGCAACAGGAAATTCTGTTGCTATAATTTTATGCCATACACATACACACACACACACATAAGAAGGGCTATTTCTACAAGAAAGTTCAGCTTTCAGCTCCTACTTCCTTCGGTGCAAGGGACTCCATCAAAGCATCTGCTAAAATGAAAAGTCGAAAGAATATTTCTGAAATAAACAGCATGATGGCATCCCTCCCCTCCATATTTTAAAATGGAGGAACCACTTTTTTTTTGGCTAAACCTAAAAAAAAAAAAAAGCAAAAAAACAACACCTTTGGGCAAAGACCAAACTTGGAAGAGTTAAGCCCAAGAGGCAATTTTTATTTGAAGATGCAAGCAATTGAAAACATGGGGTTTAAATGGAAGCCATCGTGCCAACTTAACTAGGAGGGTTACTGCCACACCGGGGAAAGAGAGAGGGAGGGAGGGAGACTCTCCATAGGAAAAAAAAAACCATTTTCTGCAGGAGAGGGAAGCTCAGTTTACAGAGTAGAGATAAGGAAATGCAGTAGCCGATATCCATCTCCATAGATTTTGCTAAAGTAGTGCTTGCAAATGGTTTGGCCCCATGAACCGCAGCGAGTTTTGTGCTGTTTATCCACAAGCAACAGCAATACACAATTCTCCCATAACAAGGAGGAAAATGTGCTTTAATGATGACCTAACAGACTCACTTGAGAAGAGAAAATACTACTATCATCTCTCTATCATGATTCAATCCTTAATTCAGCCAATGACGCTGCCTATGAAGATGCCAAATAACACCACCTGCAGCAGTAGGAAATGGGTAAGAGATTCCCCATCTCATTTCATAAAGGCCACAGATCTGCAGTTGGACAGCCCCAAATGACTTGAGTTGCTGCAGGCTCCATTTCGAAGTTGTACCCTAGGGAGGGAGGAAAAGGCTCCTCGTCCTTATACCGAGGCAGGTGATGGTGCGTGAAAGTGCAAGTTAGACAAACATCAGTCTGGGATGATCCTGCCTTGAGCAGGGACTGAACTAGATGACTTCTTGAGGGCCCTTCCAGACCTATACTTCTAATCCCCTGCTACCAAACCCCAGGTTTACAAACCTCCCGGTCCTAGGAAGACTATTAGATTCACCAGTAATTTGCCCCGCTGACATCTCACTGTTACTTTCTGGAGCTGAGAGAGAGGGCCACAAGTCCCCTTCCTCCCTCAATGATTTTCTCTGCCACAAACTCCAATAGCAGATCACAATGCTGGGACACAAGGTGCACACCACCATGCTGGCGTGGTCTCAGGTTCTACAACCAAATATATGGCCTTGCCCCTCTCTACAGCAAGATGCTGCAGAGGCAGAAAGCCCACCAGAGTCAGCATCTCCTAACTTCCCCCACAACCGCCTAAAATAGGGTCAACTAGTTGCCTCTATGCATTACCCACAGAGCAGAGTTGCTCACTAAGGTACCAGGCTATAGTAACTCGTTCACATCCCTCCCCGACTCCCGGATCCATGTGTGGGGAGCCAACGTTATTGCACGTGTAATGTGGGCCAGGACAGAGTGAGGCTCAGTCCAGGCCTTCATATTATACAAAGAAACATTAAGTCCCACCTGATCTGAACTAATGGAAACCAAAACCTCATACCAATCAAGCCATTTGGTTGATGAAGGACCTATTAAATGAACATACTGCAACGCCACCCTCCAAAGCAGGTACGGTAAAAGATTTGCCTTTCCCCCCACCCCCACTCTCGGTTGCTGAATTATTTCAATTCCCATCCCCAATCATTAAAACGACCCTCTCTCTTTTAGCTACCACTGCTCTCACTGCACCAGGCAGGTTAGCAGCAAGTCCTGCCCACAGATAACTGGACGCTTTGGATAAACGTCACTCAACTACACTTATAAACGGTTGGGGATTTGAAAACTCTGCTGGACCAACCCCATTTCTACCCAGGACCCTCCCCACTGCAGCCCACAGACCACCAGGAGGAAGGATAGGCTGCCAGCAGCCACTTCCAAGAAGGGGAAACAAAAGCTTCCACTAAGAAATATAGACTATTATTTCTAATAGTCCTATTATTAAAAGGAGTTGGAGCAAGAAGAAAGCTCCAGAGAAGGAGCAAAAGCTGAGACAACCATTGCTGAAGTGCAGAAACAATGACCTTCCCGCCTGGTGGTCTCCTTCAATCTACAAAGAATTTATAATAGCTAGAGAACCTGAGGAGCAGCTGATGGAGAGGGTTAAAGGCCCTCCCTGAATATGGGTCACCTGCATCTCCCTGGCTGCAGAGATTACCGGTGAGAAATGAGGTGGGACCAGCTGGAGGTGATTCTTCATTAGCAAGGAAGATAAAGGGGCAGCTTGGGGAGGCGGGTACTGTTTGCCTGTGCCAGGGCAGGGAGCTGGAACAGATTAGCTGGGACCTGGCTTGGCTTCACATCAAGGTAAAAATGAAATCCTTGTTTTCCCTCTGGCTGCTGAGTGGATACTTGGGCCGAAAGGAATCTGCTGCTTATGTGATGGCTCCTGGCTGGAGTGTCTTTGACTCGGTCTGTAGCAGCGGACAATTCGGGCCCTCTCCAGAAGACCTGGTGTTTCCTGCAATCGCTTCTGCAGTCCAGGATGGATGTGCAGACCCGTCGGTGCAAACACAGCATGCAGAAGCCGGAGCATCCTACTCAGTGGTCCCTGGCAGACCGAGCTACAAAGAACCACACCGGTCCTGAAAGTGAAAGCTGGACATTTTCAAAACCCGATGCTCCCATATCCAAGCCTTCCTGCACTGTACTTTAAAGGCCTGTTGCTTCTCTTTACAAGGCAAGTTGCTAACTATTCACTCTCTATCCTCAGGCATGTTCAATCATTACCTCGAGTCTGGGTAGTCACCACTGATGGTCGTGCAGGCAAGATGGTAGAAAAGGGAAGGCGCCTGACATTCAATTCACTGTAAGGCTGTTGCAACCATCTCAGGAGGTCTCCTGCACTCAGGCACGGCAAGTGCTCCCAGTGAAAGCTGGGAGGCTGCAGCAGCCTGCTAGCAAACAGGCAGGGAGCAGGCTGCTGATTAAATGCCACTGGGAACTGTTTTGCTCTCTCTTTCTC